TTTGTTATAGATCTGATTATGGAAACAGCCCTATCCTCGTGCAAGGATAGTGGCATAGATTTACTTCCAGGTGGCAGTCTGTCTGATCTGGAGTACGCAGACGACATTGTGCTACTAAGTGAAGATCCATGTAAGTTGCAAGCATTTCTGGATAAGTTGAATGCCAGTGTAGCCACATTCGGTATGTGTTTTGCACCTTCAAAGTGTAAAATGTTACTACAAGACTGGGTTGGTCCAGCACCCAGCCTCACTCTCACTGGGGAAGTAATAGAGGAGGTGGATAAGTTTTGTTATCTGGGCAGCTCCATCTCCCCCGGTGGAGGCATCACGGATGAAATGTCAGCTCAAAAATATAAAAAGCTCGATTATCATTTGCCAACTTGAAGCATTTGTGGTGCCATCGCGACATTCGGCTGTCTGTTAACGGTCAAGTATATGCTGCGGCAGTTCGGTCAGTTCTGCAAACTTTGCTATGAAGAAAACAGGATAAAAACAAACTGGTTAATGGTTTTACAAACTGAAAATTCGCGGGTTTCTTTCGGCCCTGATATTTTAGTTAGTATATCTTCTATCGGTGATTTTTATAGGCTCTCTATTTAACCCACATTAATTTGTTTTTTGTAATAATATCTTCCAAAAGCCTACATCCGGATAGTTGGGCTGAAGTTATTTGGGTGTGTTCAAACAAATGTAAGGCTTAGGATCCATTATTGTCTGTCTGAATATGAGTAAATTCTTGAAAAGCTACCAAGACTAAAACGTGTCACAAGAGAAGTATTATCTGGGAAAATCAACAGAATTTTACCCATCTGGATCAATCTGCTTCAAATTCTCCGCAAAATAAGCAATTAATCATTGTGCACAATTTTTGCCGGTTGATGATTTCAATGGTACGTGACTATTTCATGGGTGAATTGTATTTTATCAACAGTCGCAAGAAACGATTTTCTTCTTTTACTACTGAGATCATGCACTTGAACTGTGGACAGTGGAACTCACCCATTGTATCATCAGTTTTATTTCATCTTGACCAAAACCATCCATATTTGGCAAACAGGATTAGGCTCAGAAACGATCATTTGTTTGCTGAATCGATGGGAAAATCGGAAATTCACGGTGGCTCTTTAAGATTCTAATCCTTCACCACTTATTCATCATTAACGTTTGTATTACAATAGGTTATCATCCAAAACTAATCCCAAAGGAACAGGAGATTTTCATTGAAAGGAAGCCACTCACCATCGCCGTAAAATTACATTTGGTTCTACAAACGGATTCTTAGAGTGTGCTACATAAAGAAATTCGCTACATTCCGGTTGGGAAACAATGAAACTGTTTTGATTTCCCAACAACCTCAGCGTATAGTTCGCATTGAAGTTAAAATATAAGGTCCAGAAAACGTAATAGATTAAATTTTATACTGAGACAGTTCCAATATACCGGATCGTACACCATCAAAGTTGTTGACGCACGAATTCCAACGGTGTCAGGATTTACCCCCTTCTCGGTTTACCGAACTCAAGTACATTTTTGACCACGTATTCTTTCAATGGTGTTATCTTGCATAATGACAGGATAGAAATAAAAGCGAGCTTTCACAATGCGTTTGGGGTCAAAACAAGAGGACGTGTCGACTAACTTTTGTCAAATAATTGATCTAGTTACATAAGTGAATCATTCTCTTTTCATCTTTTTTCCTGGGCATCAACGGGATTAAGATATGTCGTTGGGCCTTAGGCATCTCAATTTTTGCTTGCTGTGGTGTAGAATTTGCTACGATTGTAACAGTAGGCAATCACTTGAAGGACTCCATGAACATCTTAAAATCTAGTTAAGGAAAGAAAGAACAGGAGTCATTTGTGTCTCGATTGCAACGCATTTGATCAACATCATACATCAGATGGTTTTCGGGACGCCTGTTGACTGGGACAAACACGATGCTTGCTCTCTCCCCCTCTCTGTCTTTCTGGTAGTAATGTTTATTGGGTCATCAATGGAAACACCAACCGGACAAGGAGTCTGTTAAACCGTGCTTGTAAAAGTTAAGCGAAGCCTCTTTTATTTGGCACCACTCTCTGTGTGGTGTGTCCTCTCGATATCATTCTCGTCGCATGTTTAGGCGTGCACCTGCTTGAGTGCACGCCTTCTACAATCTCGTATCAGCCAGGCACAAGCATAGGTATTGTGAACAAGTCGGTGAGACCGAATCTCTTTCCCCTCTCTCCCGCGGTCTGCAAAATAAACATGTTCAGTCCGATTGTGGATCGAAGTTTTAACACTCAGGACACTCATAGAGTCTGCATCAATAACAATTCGAATGCAAGTTGTGACTGTCTTTTCTGAGGCAGCACACGCTGGTTTTCCTGAACCGTGTTGTTCTTGCGCTTTACCCTGTCCTATGAATTTTGCAACCAAATATAAGGTACCTAATCACCTATCTGTCAGACGGTCTCATACTGTCACAGTGATAGTTTCACATCATAGATAAGGGGGTGGGGAGGCGGTAGTGGTGGGGTCGGGTAAAGCTTGGGTACCAGGTGAGGTGTTCGTCCTCAGCTTGACCTTAATCTCTCTCTCTCTCTCTTGTCTCGACTTAATCGCATATGGGGTGTGCAATCGAAGCATGCTCACCAACCCCGTTTATCCGTGTGTGTGTGTGTGTGTGTATCTGAATGTGGACGCAAAAAACGCACACACATACATAAAGCCATATTGAAGGAAAAAGCACTGGCAGTTGACGATCAGACAAACAGCTGATCTTCCGTAGTGAACCAATCACCGGGTGATACGTTAAAGCAGACACCTGAGAACAACTGAACCAGAGTTGGTGCTTGTTTATTTGTTCTGTCCGTAAGTCCATCTGTTCTATCCTCACGCACACACACACACGCATACACATTTGCACATTTGCTTACTCACTGAGCATACCAAGCTACCGTTCATTCGCTTTCACGCTAAAATTACCACTGATTGGTCCACTTGAGCCATATAACGTAAGAGTCGTGACGATTGAACAACGTTTAGTGTTCCTCTTCTCCGTGTATTGGACTGCATGGCGTGTAGTGCAATGTGACGACCACGAGTCAATTTATCGTGCTCGAAGCGAGGGTAAGCTAACTGTCATTCACTATCTCTTATGTCTTGTGATCCAACCGTATGTTTCTAACACTGACATTCGTAAAACAATCAATGCCCTGCCTAGCTTTGACAGATCAGTTTACTACATGAGGAGAATTTTATGCAAACAGACAATCGATCGAACAGGAAAATAAGATATGTTTAGTCAGTCTTTTCCTTGATTCTGCTTGTCTTATTCATTGAAGTAATAAAGGTCTCTAGCACCTGCCGGCCTGTAGTTGTTGCTCTCGCATTCCAGCTTCGGATTACCTAACCGCTGCAAACAGTCAGTAGGTCCGTCTAACAGAATGATATTCAAGTGAGAATTACCGGACAGTATCAACATTAAGGAGTAGAAACCAACTCAGCGAAATATGCCCATTTGCTTCTAATACTTTCAAATGATGGATTAGAAAAGGATAATGTAGTCCGACCCACAGTTTGGTTGTTTTTGCAAACCTAATTTTCGGGCACTTTTCTACCATATCTGATGACGTATTTTCAGATATTTCATCGAATCTTTAAAGGGCCTCGATCTTTACACGATACACCTGATTATTTCAGATGATTAACTCTCAGTGGTTCTTATTCCTGCTTTTGGCAAACAACTTACTAAAGGATTAAGATTAAGCCCCTTTACGGGCACCCAGCTTTTGTGATGGTCAGCTTTACTGTTGTTCAGCCTAATACCACGTCCGTCCTGTTAGGGCTCTAGATGGACCGTCACTCCGTGCTCGAGCGCCAGATACAGAACCATTTTGGATACGGACGAATCCCAATCAACCGTATGGATATATGATGCGCTCGCGGGGCAACGCACGCGCGCACACACACACACACACACACACAAAATGAACTCCACATGTCAAGAGTAAATCTATTCACTTAGCAAAATGGTAACTCGCTTGTATGGGTCTTATTCGATCAAGATTGGCATTAGAACTTGATGTCAATTGTCCTCAGATTATTTCCATCCGCTTGATCGGTTCACCACTGACGGCAGCTAGTCCCGCACTCTGTACTGTTTTGCACTTGAGGACAAATAGTGCGTGTGAGTAATAGAGTGTGTTAATCCGGTCACTGGTAAGAGAAGTTTGACCGGACTCCATTGCTAAAACTCTGTCCACTCTTGTGATTCAGTGGGACAACAATAGAGAACTCAATATATATATATATATATAATATATAATATATATATATATAATATATATAATATAATATATATATATATATAATATATAATATAATATATATATATAATATATATATAATATTCTTATATGATCACATCCAATTCGATTTCTACTGATGCCCTTCCATCTGCTTGTTGGCAGTTTTTCTCTGGAAAAGTCGGATTTTCCATACCCGGGGATTTTGACTGGTTATTCTATATGATGGATATTTCTCAACTGACTACTGACAGATACTAACAATTCACTGCGGTACAGATATCGTTAACATAGTGACGAGGTGTGACGCAAAACTAATCTGGTAACTATTCACCCCATTCATGGCATATATGAAAATTCCAGTGAGCTGTTCCCCAGGGAGAAGTCACAATGGATTAATTCTATTGTTCATCGAAATTCAAATAATTTTGAACAGCGGGTTTGAGGCATGGTTACTTTCATCAACCCTTAAATCAAATCAGAAACTTAGGTTCATAAATGAGCTACTTGGAGGCCAATAACAATACAGAGAAATCGAGAAGATGCACGAACGCCACTGTTTACGATACTCAGCCGTATCACTCGATTTCTCTAAACGCTGAATACAATGATCGCTACGTCCCCATTCAGGGAGCTGAACGGGAGCTATGTGACCCAATGTCCTGGTTAGGGTTTTCATAGTCTCTTGTGAGGTCTTAGTTTGACCGCCCTTGGAGTTTCTCAACCCAATACCTGCTTCGGCAAATATCGTGCGCCGTGGCAATCTATTTGGTGACATGTGAGACACACCAACCAACGTATTCTATGAAGATCAAACAATTGCTGCAGTGGGCGACTGTGGTTACCCAAAACTCCACACCTAACCTCAACATTGGTTGTCGGGTTACCCCACCAGATTCGTATAATGCTGTATAGTGAGGCTATCTTTATCTTATTCTCTTAATCGCCGAGTTTTGCGCTATTTAGCAGGACTGGCCGAACTGCCACAGCCTATATTTGATCCCTCACAGTCAGCTGTACTTCATGACGGCACCACAAATATCTTAAGCTAGTAAATGCCAATCTAGCCATCTGTATGCGAGCTGGCACTTTATCCGTTGTGCGTTCACCGGGTGAGGTATATCTGTGGAATGTGATTGTATCATCAGTTATCTGATCGATTCACAAATGTACCCAGCCAGAGTGCTTGAAGTGCCAAGAACAAAAATGTTATCAATTGCCACTACGGTAGACGTCTAAATATATCCGGTTTCCGTTAACTGGTGCTTATATTGTTTTGTTTGTTTTCCCACAACATTTTATTCTTTTAGCCCTTCCATTTTGAAAAAATGCAAATATCGCTCCCTTGTTTTGGAACCAGGCATCTTCGGTCTATGCACCATTTTCACCATAGATTGCTGTTTCATTGTGGCCCGTAGGTTCAAGCTGTAAAATCTTCGGAATTGATCTAAACCTGCGGCCTCTGATCGGCGAAAAGTAAAATACATACAATCTGTGGAATTGGTAAGCTTAAAGTTAACAACACGCGGGAACAATCTCTTGGTCATGTGAGACCGTAGTCTCAATCGTCCGACCGCTCAACTATTTCAAACTGATTTTAGGTATGACCGGAATCCGCTGATTGTATTATTATTACTATTATTATTATTATTATTAAATGGGACTGTGGAGATGAGTAGAGCCAGGGTGTTGATCTCAATGGACCATTATTGAGATGCCGGAGAATGTAAGAGACGGTAGTTTGGAAACGATCGACTGCTCAAAGACTGATGAAAGATCAGTAACAAATGAACGGACTTTGACCGAAGAAATTTGTTACTGGGGTTATTATCTTCGTGCTTCTGAATAACTGTGGGAAACGTGTGTGACTTCGTTGTCAGAAGAATACAGAGGAAAGATATTCGAAGTTCTGGACGGGGTCGGTGNAATAAAGCATGACAAACGGTAATACATAACGAGCATGACTTTGACAATTGATGAAGTTATAAACGAAGAGGTAAAAATCTTGTTTGTCCTGAACAGTTGCCTTCAAGTTGGAAATTCTTTTGTACTCAAATAAATGTGGCGTACCTTTTATACCTTAGAGATGGAAAAATTATTTTATCCTTATAGGTATAAAATTATTCTGTTAAACTAGAAAATCTTTGTTTGTTTGACGAAATACACAGGATAAAAATAACGTACCTTGTTTGTATTAATCGGAACACGTTTTTGACGAGAAGTTGATTCCAATACATCTCACAACGTGACTCGTTGGCACATGTTACCGTTCAAATAAACCTGGAATACGGATAGACTGTAAAGTTTTCATAAATTTTAGTTTCTAAATACGACCAGAATGAACACTTATCAATCGATCGATCCGTACTTGCAAGGTATGACCTCGTTTGTCCAATATATATATATATATATTGTCAACCTCTGAAAAGGTTGTTATCATGTCATCCCCCTTCCCAATTATTGATTATTTCTTTCACATATTATTTTATACCGGAATTCTTCGGTTCTCGGACTTGCCGATAGAAAGAAGATATCTACCAATGGTTTGTGTACTGGCACATACTCAAATCACGCTATTCCCAACTCCATCTGGTTATCTATCTCAATTTTCTGTTCTGTCTTGGTGAATTTCCTCCTGTACGCGATCATCAAAAGAACGTTGTCGATTGAAATTTCATCGGAAAAGCTTGTTAATTGCTCTATGAAAACCATGAATAAATTAATCTAGACTAAAATATTCTGTGACAGTCAAAGTGATCGTCCATCTGTTTATCAGGGTGGGTAGGAAACTGGTATTCTCTCTTGTGTTTGACCTTCTATTTGGTCTGATCAGTGTGTAATACTTGTGATGATTAAAAAATAAGCGGCACTGACAGTATTGACTGATAATTCTGTGGGTTCACGACATAATGACAAACTCTAAACACTGCTGAGCTCAGTTTTGAAGTTTCTCCACAGAGAGCTTCAAAGCTAACAGCGCACAGTATAGCTGTTCGTCCTTTGTCTGATAGCATCAGTACTGGTTTTGTGCAGTGCTGCGAAGATTTCGCATATGACTTCATATATAATTTCAGTAGTATTGCTGCCTCTTGATATTCTCGTAATGTTGTACGCGTTCTTTTCTAAATACTCTTTTTATCTTTTCGTTATCCGCTTATTTTACAAACAGTGCCACACGATCGTTTGCAATAAAATCTCTCACATACCTACTTCTTATCTTGTTGTGTTCCAGTCTGGTTCGTGAGGTGGACGAATTGCAGGAGTCCGTTGATCAATTGATTCGCCAGCTAGCTGCCAACCAAACCGCTCATCAGGACTTGCTTCGCGCTCGAAGTCAGCTGGAAACGGATTTGTCCGTGAAGTCGAACAGCCTGTTTATCGATCGGGAAAAGTGTTTGGGTTTGCGCAAAACCTTTCCGATGGCTCCATCTGTGATCGTGCCTGCGTAAGACCCTCCCCCGTACCCCGCGATGAATAGTTTGGTTTGTCCGAACTAGTTTCTACAAGTTGAGCTTGATCGATCATCGTTCATGTGTGTGTGCGTGTGTGTGTGTGATTGCGTATCCCATCAAACCTGAGCAGAGTGTGAATCTGCGTGTGCGAGTGACCACGCACTGACCTGAAAGAAGGTCGACAGACAAAACAACACGCACAGGCACATGCACGTGTTGTGTTCGCACGTAATCCACTGATCGTCTAGTTGCTTTTACTCTAGGCCATCTGTCTTGCAAGTGTTCTTAGTTTGGCTGTTTGCTTAACATATCCTCGATTGGGCACGGTCAATGAGAGGAACTTCATCAATCTCGCTATTTTTCTACCCAAACTATTCATCTTCAATTTCGATTTGACTACTACTACTACTGCTACTACTAGCATTGGTTTATTTTCACGTAGTATAAGGGATTGTTTGTCCGGAATGTGACTCACTCTACAGGAACCGTTAAAAAAAACATATCTATTCCCTCTGTGACACCCTCTCGTCGGTCATTGTGTGTGCATCTGAGCTCATTCTGGTTTTCCGTGTGCCTTTCTTCAGCTTCACTGTGCTAGGATCTGATATTGTTGTGTGGTTTACCTACGACCCCCCACCCCCACTCCTCCATTCCACCCCACATATCCTATATGTGCACTTGTACGCTTGAGTGCATGCATTCGATTCCACTCCGCAACTGACTTATCAACACACATTCGTCTCACTCCGTGTCTTTTCTTGTTGTGCAGCTTATGGCATCATTTCCGAGAATCACATTTATCAATTAATTGTCTCATTCGACACTTGTTTCTCTCTCTCTCTCGCTCTTTCAACATGCATATGCACTCCCGTGCGTGCACAACATTTGCAGACTGACCGACATTCATGTTTTTACGCGTACCTGACTCGTTACTGCATACTTCAATTGAATACATACATAAATGCACGAACACACGCAGACATCCAAACATGCCTGCACATTTCGTCGATTTGCACCAGCACTTCTGTGATACATTTGTACAAATGATTGTGTAGTCTGTCTGTGATCGCATGGTCACATATTGATTTGATCCACTCTACTTGTATTTTCTTTCTACCAAATGGGCGGGCATCGTTGATCAAGAGTCCAATCATTTTGTTGTCATTCATCATACGGTTCGCGGGGTTTACAAACCTGTTTTCCCCCAATTCATCAGCACGTTTGATTACAACCACATTTTAAAGTGGATCGTTTGTGATCCATGCTTTTTCATATAGGAATCCTGGTGTAACAGGTCACATTAGGTTTATCCCACAGCGGATCTAGCGAAATCAGATTGCTCGTATGGGATATGCATTAGGTAGTTTGAACGCAATACGGATTGTCTGTTTCAGTTAGTACGCAAGAGTTCGCCATTGATGATAATGATGATCGTGATGGTGGACGTTGTGTTGGTCTTCATCTAGAAGTGCTAGTTGTTTTGACTGACATTCTCTCATCCATAGTTCCGAGTTTCAAACCCAGTGGCCTGATAGTAACCTGTGGAATTAAACACCATAAACACCCGGTTCCGAGGTGTAGGAAGCTAGGCAAATGGGCTTTTGGGTACAGTGATGGTGTTTATGTGTATGTCAAGTTGATATTAGAAGATAAAGCTTCTAAAAAACCTCGTCTTTTTGATTGTCTTTCCGTGTTAAATGTTCCAATTTGAAAATTATTTGCAAGGAAGTTCAAACTGCGGGGTTGATATAATCGGAAATGAAGTTCAATCAGTGCGTGCATCGAGGGGTCCATTCAAATTATCCATGAGTAGTATGTTTTTATGCGCGCATAACAAAGCAGTCGGTGAATTCTCACGATGTTCACAATTGAACAAGAAATTGCGGGAGCCAGTTAGAGAATTCACTGTTTGTTGCAAAATAACGCACAAACACCTCGCTGAACTATTCAGTCACTGATCCAGAATCGTTCGTGAAACCGTGACCAATCTGTTTCTCGTCACTTGTTTCGTTCTATACAACCCGATAAACCGTCTATTCATGTGGTTCTGCCACTGCACTATTTCGACAGTGGATTTGGGGATTTTTAATAAATATCGTGTTTCTATGTGAAATGTTCGCATCGTTCAACTTCCCACTCACGAGCTGTGTTCGTGTTGCAATCGAAAGTACACGTGCGGGCGGCAAGTACCCCGAGGCTTGAACCTGTAGACAGAACATCTACTCGAGAACGAAATGCTGTAACTATATTGTAGGCGGGATTTGTCCCAAGTGTGTTGAACCCCTTAGAACCGTGCTCATCGTTTGATGATAATAAATCTTTTGCCACGCAACTGAATTGGTATCGCTATGTGCGTGTTTCTCAGACTCCACTTACTGGTAGATGTTGTCGACACATTTGGCGTAACTGGAAGGGACATGGAATTTTCTGTGTGAGGTGACGTTAACTAATTGTCAGGTGCAATCTATTACGTGTCGTTGGGAGACGAATTTATTAAGGTCATCCGTGCCTAGGATCAATGCACAATCACAACTAATCAATTGCATATCGGTGGGTTGTGTTATATTCGGGTGCGGTGAGAAAGCAAAATGCGAAATGCATATCAGCGTTGTGAAGCACTACTCACCTTTTAGAGTAGTACGCAAAGGGACGCGATTGGCGGTTTCTTTCGACTGTCACAAATGAACAAGGCCTGTTGGGGCGAATTGCTGGGTTCGGTTGTGGTTACTACAAGAATGCGCATCTACCGTTGGACCGTATCGTTAGCCATCTTGTATGCGTGTGGGAATTACGAAGACCTGTTCCAAATGAGACATTTTGTTGTATGTATGCCAGTTTACCGATATCTTGACCGTTATTCATAATTCATAATTATTAATTAATTAATTAATTAATTAATAATACCCTCGTCCCGGCACAGTCTTATGGATTTATAACACCAGTACGTAATGCTTACTGACACAGACGGAGAGGGATCACAAGTTGGATTGTTGTGTTCTTTTTGCAGATCACTGATCCACTGCGAATGCATTTGTTTAGATTAAGTTTGCCAATGAGCTCGTTGACGATTCTAATTAGCCAGGATTCTGTGTGATCAAGGCTTCTCAGAATCGGAAGGGAATTACAATGTTGGTGTTGGCGTGTTCTCTGAACAAGACGTGTTGTTCGCAAACGTTTCTTAGCCAGGCTGGGCTACACCGATAATGTTGCTTAGCCTGACTATGAAACGTCTTCGAACAACACGTACAGCTCGGAGGATACCAGAACATCCGCATCCCGAGCTGCAATTATTCCACTCTATTTCCGGGGAATAACAATTTTCTGGCTATGGCAATCTATGAGAAGAAATGGTGTCCTTGCGATCCCTAGAAGTGTCGTAGTGCAGCCTGCAGTGGCTAAAAATGCGTTGTCTATTTGATTGGTTTGGAATGTTTCGAACCGAGTCAGAACAATGGAGGCTAGTGCTGAGGTGAGTGAGACGCGACACATGCAACAAGCTCCCAAGGATTGTTTTCTTTGTATCCGTGTACAAAGAAAATGAAACATAGTATAATCAATTGGTCGGGGCTGGTGTGGGTAGTGCGTTCGCCTTCTACATGTGAGGCCCGAGTTCGATCCCCAGTCGCGTCGAGTAAGTCACAGTGCTGGTGAGACCCAACCAGGTAGAAACAGCTTCACAGGATTAATTGCCTAATTTGTAGCAAATACATTTTACTTTACGGGAATAATTGAGTCGCGCAATTGCCATGGTAATGAGTGAACGTCCAGGCTTAAATAACCCACACCGAAAACAGTCCATAGTCGATGCGAAACGAAATGTTCATCATATTGGGATGCTAACATGAAGTCAGTGTTACTTGAGATCGCCTGTTACTTCATGATGTTTATGTAATTATCGCCAACAACAATTCACATAATGTGAAATATTGGCCCTTTTCAGGTACTATTCACATTCCAAGCCGTTGGCGGATTCTCACGGAATTCCAACGTGATTCGGACATCTAGGAGTGAATAAGGGGATTTGATATTGTAACAACAGAAAATGCAAACAGCCGGGTGAGCTGCTTGACCTCGTTAATCAAACATCGTTTAAGAAACTACGAACCAATGGTTGCAGCATAGATCTTTCGTTTTGTGTGATCAGATTTACCCCGACCGGGAACGCTCTATCAGAAAACATCTCAATTCGGCATTGGCCTTGTCGATGTATCAGGTGCACGCGCGGTAGGCAGTTGATAGCGATTCATTTCATTTCAATTTTACCTTTATGCTGAACAATCGGCAGAACAGGAGTCCCCTAACATCAACAGAAGATTGTTTAGGGGTAATCAGTATTTGCAATAATCTCCCTGATTATTTCATTCCAAGTGATGAATTCCATATGGTGTGCTTTGTTTTGTGATGTCAACTTTGCTATATTTGAAAGGATTTTATGACTACTACTCTTATGCCACTAAATTAATTTCTATACAATCTGCTTTCCGGGCGTTATGGGAAACGGCATCCGTAAGGACACATTATTGTCCTCCCCGTGTACAATAACTTTTTGCTTTGATGTGAAGAACTAATTAAATGAAATTAAGTTTCAACAGCATCCAAAGTACTTGGTATCACCTTCACCAATACCTAACCGCACAGTCAATGCGTATATATGTATATATACAAGTCTAATCGAAATTGAAGCAACAGGTCCCTGTGAAACACTTGTGTGTTCGTACAGGCAACGGCATTTATACTAGAGAAAATTTTTTTCCAAATAATAATAAACAAGCCTTGGTGAGTTTTTATAGACGTGATTTTCCTGATTCGTTTATACTCAACAGATGGAATGGTTCAGAATGTAATGAATACTCCCATTTCGTCAGTAGTGGTTGACCTAGACCATGATGATTTCAGAGGTAACTAAAGAGAATGGAACAGTTTTTATTTACGACAAATTAACATTGATAATAACTAAGATGTAAAGTTTGTGTACACTAATAGTCGATTGGTCTGCC